GGGCCGGGGAGATGGCTCAGTGGAATAAGCGCTTCCCTGGCAAGTGCAAGGGCCTGAGTTCAATCCCCAGTTCCACAAAAAAAAAAAAAAAAAAAGAAAAGAAAGAAAGAAAAGAAACAGATAACAACAAATGCTAGAGAGAATGTGGACAAATCAGAGCCCTCACAGTGTTGATGGAAACAGCACCACAAGTTAAGCGCCACGTCTCCAGAAAACCCAGAAACTTCCCAAGAAAGATGAAAACAATGGGCTGGGGAGATGGCTCAGTAGAATAAGCGCTTCCCTGGCAAGCACAGGGTCCTGCTGAGTTCAATGCCCGGTTCCGCCAAAAAAAAAAAAAAAAAAAAAAAAAGAAAGAAAGAAAGAAAGAAAGAAAGAAAGAAAGAAAGAAAGAAAGAGAAAACATTGGTCTACACCAAAACCTGTCCATGAAAGATCATAGCTGAATTATTTTTTCCTAACAGTCAAAAATGGGAAATAACTGTAATTCTTGCCAGCTGATAAACAGCAATGCAAATACCACAAGCTCTACCATGAAAGGGAGCTCTGCCATGCTTAGAGGTAAAGTGACCTCAGAGAGAGAAGCCAGACAGCAAAAGCCACACAGCATGGGATTCACTTCACATGAAATGTCCTGAACGCACAAAATGACAGAGAAAAAGTAGTTACACAGCTGGCAGGAGCTTATTTTGAGACAATGAAAAATTTTAAAACTTGATTGTGACAGTAGTTAACCCTGAAAACACTAAATACCACTGAGCTGCACATATTCGGAAGGGTGAACTGCAAGGGTTGTACTGCCATACTAGGTGTAAAGGAATTACATCTCAATAAAGCTGCTGCTCCCACCTCCTGCCCACTCACATCCAGCCCCTCCCTCTCTCCTCCATGAGCATCTACTCTGGGCCACCCAAGAAACAGGTAATTTAACAAAACTGAGGTTAAATTTGACATGGTAGCACACGCCTGTCATCCTAGCACTCTGGAAAGTTGAGGCAGGAGGATCACAACTTCCGGCCCAGCTTATGCACCTTTATGACTTGGCAAGACTCTGTGCCAAAACAACATGGGGCGGGGGAGATGGCTCAGTAGAATAAATGCTTGCCTGGCAAGCGCAAGGGCCTGAGTTCAATCCCCAGTTCTGAAAAAAAACAACAACAACAACAACAACAACAAAAAAAAAAAAAAAAAAAAAAAAGAGCTGAAATGTAGCTCAGTTTGAAGTCCCTGAGTTCAATCCTCAGTACCACAAAAAAATAAATAAGGCACTGGGTCCTCAAACCTGACAGGTGGTAAACACACCCTCTCTCCAAGAGAAGCTAGGAAACCAAAGCTTGGAGAGGTCAAGTCACTTACACAGCCATTACGTGGTACAACTACAAACTCAAGCCAGACCTGATACTCAAAAACCCTCATCAGTTAAGTGCTGGGCAGCACAGTACCGTCACATGCAGCTCCATGCCAAGCTGTGAGGCTGGAAGCACGAAGATGTGTCCCCTGGAAACAGGAGCCCCTGGGGTCTAAGTAGGGATGACACAACCTGATCTGTGCCAGATTGTGCGGCCCACAGTGGCAGAGGGCAGCAAGAAGGAGAGGAAGAGGGACTATAGGGACAGCTGGGGTGGTCAAGGGTCTGAAAGTAAGGGGAACACAAAGCACCTGGAGCTACACACACCGCAGGCTTTGTGCCCTGGTGTACTGAGGCAAGGTGGCCTCATTGTCTTCCTGGAAACCAGACTGCTGTCAGTCCCCCAGGTCCCCCCGCACAGCCACACACACTGAGCCTAGACTGAGAGGGGGATGTCACCAAAAGAAACCATACTTTGGATGACAAGGTAATAGCATCCATAGGATTACTTTCCAGAAAGAAAGAGAGTATTGGTGTGGGTCCACTCAGGGTCTAAGGACATGGTCCTGTCTGACTTGCCATCTAATGAGATTCAAAACCAGAGGAGTACAGAGACAGGCCAGTGACCAAGAGGGGTGTCCAACCAACAGGCACAGCCTGGTCCCCTGGGACTGCAGCCTCAGAACCCAGTTCCTGTCCAGGTGACTCCTGCCCTGGTATAAGCCCACTCTGAACATTTGGTTCCCAGCTCTGCCTTTACCACAGCAGACATCCCCATTGGTATGGAGGCCAACAGAAGCAACACTAGAAGCAGAGGCACAAATAAAGAGCACCAAACAGCCTTCTCCCAGGGCAGCGTCTAAATTCTGTTCCCACCCTGCAAAGTGGAACTCAAAACAACTGGAGGGGGGCCGGGGAGATGGCTCAGTGGAGTAAGTGCTTCCCTGGCAAGCACAAGGGCCTGAGTTCAATCCCCGGTTCTGCAAAAAAAAAAAAAAAAAAAAACCAACAACAACTGGAGGCAGCTTCCATTCTCCAAGCTGGCCACATCCACCCACACATCTCAACCCATGCTCTTTCTCTGGCAAGATGGTCAGGGGTCCTCTCCAGGGAACCTTGGCAGAAAGGATGACCACTGGCTCCCAAGGAGGGGTACACACTGCCAATAGGTTTCCATCTGGCATTTGCTGGGAAGGCACTCCTGAAACATGGCTGCCATGCTGTAAGGAAGCCCAAGCCACAAAGGCCACATGCAAGTGTCCCTGCTACAACCAGACACAAAAGAGGAAGCCATCGCACACACTGCAGGCCAGTCATAGGAAGGACCTTGAGCGAGAACTGCCTGGCCCAGCCCATTAACCCTGAAAAACACAGAAAGCAGAAGATCAAAAAAAAAAAAGTTTTTGGGGGAGATGGCTCAGCAGAATAAGTGCTTTCCTGGCAAGCGCAAGGGCCTGAGTTCAATCCCTGGTTCCACCAAAAAAAAAAAAAAAGAAGTAAGGCAGTTACCAGTGTGTGCAGGAGGTGAAGGGGAAGTGATTCAAGATAAAGGACAGGGAAAGGGAAGAAGGTGTCCCCATCTCCCACCTCCTGTCCACTCACATCCAGCCCTGGAGGGCACTGGACAATCCAGCCCCACCCTCTCTCCTCCATGAGCATCTACTCTGGGCCACCCAAGAAACAGGTTCTCCTTGTTTCCACCCATACAGAGTCACCAGTCCAGCTAGGCCACAGACAGCACATGGATGGACGTGTACACCACTGAAAGGAGAAATCAGGCACAGGAATGAAGGAAATGCGATGGGGCTGTGCAAGTTGGACCAGGGACAGAGAAGAGTGGAACTGCTCGCACACAGAGCCCCAAGCACACAGCCTATTAGAAAACAGGAGCTGGGGACTAGAGGGTCACTGGAGACCACACCACAGAGGGGTCGTGGGAAAGAGACGTATTTCATCTTAAGAGCAGTGTGACACACCAGATAGGCTTTGCACAGCAGTGGACGCTGGTGTGATCAGATTTACAAGACTTAGCCTACTGTGTGTGAGAACATGGTGACCTGCTCCCATCTTCCACTATGGCACAGACTACCTCGAGAGAAAAACACTACAGTACAATTAAGATGCTAATACACACCAAGGACCATCAGGTTATAGCCACTTCCAGGTTGTTTCATCAGCTCACCCTACAAAAATCAGATAGGCAAGCCACTGTGCCAAGAACAGAACAGTCCTCTTAGCTCCAGGATGCCAAGCATCACTGCCCACTGTAGCAATGAGAACACTGAGGCCAAGTCCTTCTGCCACATGGGCTCCAGGACAGGTAAGGTCTCTGGGACAGAGGGTGCTGAGGTTCAACACGGTTGTCAGTTCTTGATGATCACTGTCCCTCTCAAGACAAAGCGCCAACCATGAAGCCATGTAGCAAGGGCCAAGGTCCTTAAGAAAAATCAAACCAAATTTACTCTACAGTTAGGCTTGGTGGTACACAACTGTAATTCCAGCATTTAGGAGGTGGGAGTTAGGAGGATAGCTGTGAGTCTGAGGCCAACCTGGGCTTTATGGTGAGTTTAAGGTCAGCCTGAACTACACATCCAGACCCTATCTCAAAAAAAAAAAAACCAAGCAAACAAACAAAAAGGCACTCAACAATCCTCCAAGCAAAACAGGGCAACAGACCACATAGCTGCTGAGAACACTCCAGAAATCCACAGAGCAAAGCAGAAGCAACAGCCCAAACCTGGCAGCTCTCAGGAAGGCTGGAGTCTTGACCTGCACAGCCCGAGACACAACCACTTGCTAGGCAGGAAGTGCTGCCCAAATACCACCCAGCTCCCAGGAGGTAAGATAACCATAACTGAGCCAGAACACCCATCCCATCACCATGCTCCAAAAGGACACCAGACCTGGCTTCTGTCTGTGAAATTCAAGGCCAAGAAGCAGCCCCACGAAGACTAAATGTTTCTTGAGGAAGGACAATTAGGTCTCTAAGAATTCTCTAGACTCAGCCACCCAGAAGAAGGTGGGGACTGGTCGTTGAGGTCTAGCACCGGGAAACTTAAACTCTCTGGCATGACACTGGGCCTGCTGCAGCCCAGGGAAGGCCCCAGATGAAAAAGAATGGCCAGTTAGTTCTGCCCTCCACAGCATCCACCGATGTTGTGCTAAGACATTAACTACTCCAAGTAGTCTCTTCAGACCAGACTTCCAGTTCCACTTCCACAAAGCTGCTGTATTTCTTGATGTGCTGCCTTCTCTCTGGGGGCTTGGGGGTTATAGGTCTGAGATCAGAGCCATTTCTGGGTCTGCAGACCTATTTTAATTTCTGCAGGACCAGAGTCCAACACAGGGCCAGTACCGAGCAGCCACGCACCGAGTCACATTTATCCAGCCTGAGCAGCCACTGCACCTCACGCATCACCTTTCTCCCTCCTCACTAGAAGCCAGCAAGCACAGGTCTGCCATCTCCTGCCCATTCCTAAACCAAGAGAGCTCCGAAAGCCAAAGTTTCCCCTACTAGTGGGATCCGACCTGGAGCTATGTGCTGTCAATCTCTATCCTAGGCAGTGCTGGATGAGTTTGATCAAACATCGCAGCCCCAAAACCCAGATTTCTGAAGTCGGAGAAATTCTGCATTCCAAAAAATACAGCTGGCACCAAGTATTTCCGAGAAGTAACTCCAGGCCCGGGACAGCGGATCTATACCAGCCCTCAGGACAGCCCAGCAGATCACCCACCCGCCGGGCCTGTCCTAGTCAGGAGTACAGATCCCGCTGGTGTGACCACCCGTGGGGCTCGTAGTCCATCCCGGACTCCCCAGGGCCCAGCACTCAGGAAAGTTGTCGAGAGCATGGAAAAGGGAAAAGAAGCCCGGGGCCCGCCACCTCGGCCCCCGTCCGCCGCCCCTCCCCCGACCCTAGCCCGCTGCCCCTCCCTCGGCCCCACCTCCCCACGGACGCCCCCTCCCCTCTCTTCCTCATTGCCTGCCCCAAGCCCCTCCGCGCCCCGCGCCCGCGCATGCGCACTACAGCCCGCGATGTGGCAGCCGCGGGGTGGGGGGGCCGGGCCGGGGGCGGCAGCCGACAGAGCCTCGAGCCCCTCAGACCCTGGAAGGGCGGGAAGCCCGCGGTGGGACCCCAGAGCCTCAGGGCGGGGGTTTTCGGCCTCGGGCCTCTGCAAACCTGACCCCAGCGTTGGCAACGGAGACACAGGGCGGGGGGCCGGCTCCCCCTGCCCGCTCACTCACCTCCGCCATGGCCGTGTGTGCGCGGGAGGCGGTGGCCGCGCCGGGATCCCCGGATGCGGAGCCGTGCTCTCATTGGCTGAGGCCCCGGAGGGCGGGGTCAGGGCGGGGCCGGGCTGGGCCAGGGCGCATAGTAGGTGTGCGGGTTGGGGAGGGGTCTCCAGTCCCTGCCTTGGGTCGCTGCGTTCTCCGAATCGGCGATCCGCTCGCTGGGTCTGTCCCTGGTTGTAGATGTAGCAGGTTGTCGGTGCGCGTACTAGTCCTGATAGTTACACCTGCGTAGGGGTCGGTGTACCTTCCTGATGCCATCGGGTGGAGGACAGTGCTAATGCCATCCTTGGTCGCTCAGAGTGGGAGGCAGGAGGTACAGGTCCACATCCTGGGAGTCTGGTGTAGGCTGAGAGGTGCGCTGGGGGCCAGCGGGAGCCGCAGGATAGTCATGCCTCCTGGCTCCAGAAGATGGTGGGGACTCAGAGACGTCCCTCGCAGAACATGAA